GAGACTGCCCTAACTAACGGTGCTGGCGACTCCCCCAGTCACGTCCTGGCTGCTGCCCAGAAAAACAAGGTCGATCCATTTCGCCTGGAAATGAGTCACCAAATCAGGGAGGCCGTTTCACTGTTTACAAACAAGGGCAGCCCATGATCCACATCAACCGAATCCGCCGTGACATCTCCCACCGCATCCTCCTCCACGCCTTCTTCCTCCTGGCCAAGGACGTCCTCGTCTTCGTCCTGCAGCTCCCAGCCCAGAGCCACGCGTCCCAGGAAATAGCCGCCTACGTCCTGAACAAGATCGCCACGATCCTGAACCTGAATCTGCTGCTCTTCATTGGCTTCGTCCAGGCCCTTCTGGCCGAGAATGTCCAGCTCTACTACAACACAATCATCATCCTGATCTTCTTCTACTCAATTGCGATACTCAAGGCAATTCAGATCCTATTTCTCTTCATGTCTGCTGGACTGAGAATCAGGTACCTTCTTGTTGTCCTCACAGTCGCAACCACTGCAATTGAGATCATTCTGGCCATCACGTTCTACAACAAAATTGGTTACATTTCAACCAGAATCATTTCGGCCGTAAACAGCGATGCCAGAATAGTTGATGCATTTGAGAAGAGGCAGAGACTGAAGAGTCTCCAGATCTCGTTTCTCTTCTTTCTGCTGATCAACGTCTCCGACCTGATGCTGCGGATGCAGCCAGGAGCCACCTCAATCACAATCAGGAAGTATCGGGTTGATTTGGGCGTATCAGAGAACCTGATCATCAAATTGATCAATCTGGNTGTCCTCACAGTCGCAACCACTGCAATTGAGATCATTCTGGCCATCACGTTCTACAACAAAATTGGTTACATTTCAACCAGAATCATTTCGGCCGTAAACAGCGATGCCAGAATAGTTGATGCATTTGAGAAGAGGCAGAGACTGAAGAGTCTCCAGATCTCGTTTCTCTTCTTTCTGCTGATCAACGTCTCCGACCTGATGCTGCGGATGCAGCCAGGAGCCACCTCAATCACAATCAGGAAGTATCGGGTTGATTTGGGCGTATCAGAGAACCTGATCATCAAATTGATCAATCTGGTCATCGATCTGATGCTGGTGCTTCTGGCTGGATTCAGGCTCAGTGAGGAGTATCGGATTCAACGGGTCTGTTTGATGAGTCTCATTGGAGTCCAATTCATCTTTAACCTGGTTACGGTGGTAGTGGATAGCTACTACAACAGTTTCACTTTCTACGAAATAAGTGTGATGCTACCATTCAACTTGTTGTACGACATCTACGCATTCTGTGCAGTTCAGAGCGAGTTGGAGACACTTGGAAGTGGATTGAAGGAGGTGTTGGAGGAGAATCAGAAGAGCAAAATATTGATGGATAAATTGTAGGATGAAAAGGGCATTTCTGGATACCAGAATCTCCTTTAATTTTTACATATTTTTGTGCTAATTTGTCCCTTATGTTTTATGGTCAAATTGGATTCGCGCTGGCAAATCTGACTGAGGAGCACTCTAAAGAGAAAGCAAAGGAGGTGGAGACGTATTTCACAAACGGAAACGTCACATTTGAGGTGGCATGCAAGTTGAAGGAGGCAACTGGAACAGAAACAATCAAGTTCTGTAGTGAGGCTGACACTACCGTAAAGGGGATTAAAAATTCGACACCGTTACAGTCGATTGGATCAGTTGATGATTTCATTGAGTTCATGAAGAAAGTTGATGGATACGAGAAGATCGTCAAGAAGAGCGACTCAATTGAGGAGAAAGACGATGACTGGAAAAAGATGATGGATGGCATTAACAAGAACAAGAGGCTGCCTCCGCCATACGTGAAGTTTCTGAATGGGTTTCTGAAGGAGGGGTCCCACAAGGGCAGTGAGTTTGAGGACTACGTGAAGAACAAGAGTGGTGAATTGAATGGGATATTTAATGTTGTTGAGATTCATGCAGCATTTAAAGGAGCAGCAGATGGGGTATTCTACACCTATTGCGTCTACAAGTCAGGTGGAGATGGAGTCAAGTCAAAGATCATAAAGTTCAAGGCGAAAGATGGCAACATTATTTCAGTAAGTGGATTCACACTTACTGCAGTATGGATACTCGTCTTTTCTCTGGTATATGGAACAATATTGGTTGTAATTGTCTCAATTATTTATTGCATATACAGGTGCATTAGGAAGAAACCAGTTGAAAAGAAGGTAGTGACAGAAGTATGAGTAAAGGGGTAGTGATGGAGTAAGCTATTTTGTTTATCAAATTAAGTCTATTTTACATAAAAGAGTTGGATGCATGGTATTATGCATATGATACTGGTTCATCTTCTCCAAATCCACTCTTCATTGGATGCGTACAACAACTTCTATCTGACACGATACAGTGAGATATCCCAGTATAAGACTGAAATATCCAGTGAGTATGAAAATGTGGGTGTTGGTGCATTCTCATTCGATGATGCAATCAAACTGCAGACACTGGTACTGAGTCACTACCACAATTTCAAGATTCATAAACCAGTGGTAATTGAAAGGATACCACAGTTCAAGGAGCAGTGCAAGTGTCTCATCAACGAGTACAACACCATTTTAAATGACTACAAGAAGAGTAAAGAAGGCAACTTGGAGAATAACAGTAACGAACTAAAGGAGGAATTCAGGCTGAAAATAGTTGATTTGTACTACAGAATGCTTCCAGTATTCTATAACAGTCTGATTGTGGTGGCAGATGGTGAGTTACTGATATTTGACTACAACTATCTGGCAGAATACAGCAAATTTCTTAGGTTGAATTCCGTTTATTACACAAACATCAAACATTATGAAATAATTCAGGTAATTAATGATTTGGTTGCCTGTAGAGATATGCTGATATCTTCTTACAAGAAGGTTGAGAAGTTGAAGAGGATTCTGCTCTCTATTAGAAAAACAATAATAAAAGTCAAAAATCATATTGGGGCATAATGATTATTAACCCATATGCACTACTTGATTATTGTGAAAGCTGCTACCTATTTCAACGATATAGGAAATAAAGAGATGGAGTACAATCAACACATGAATGAGCATAGGAAAAAGAAGGAAGCAATTGAAATGGCCTCAAATGCCTTTAAAACTGAACCGTTGGAAGTGAGTTATGATGAATTTAAGAAACTGTATCATTTTTTTGATTACAATTACAACATCCATAAGTTAAGCAAGAACGCCATAACAAGCAGGTTAAGATACATGTCTCAGAGATTACCAAAGGCGATTAATTCGTTGGAAGAGAGATACAATAAAGGCAATGATAACACTAAATTCAAAACAAGATCAAAACTATACGGTTATTTGTATAAGAGTTTAAAGATAATGTTGGATGCTGATTAATATTTCACAAGAAGAGATTCATTAGTTGATCAGATTGAATTTTTAAAGAGTGCATGTCAAAAGCATGGTTGGAGGGCTGGTGAGATGACTGTTAGGAGAATAATGACAGTCAATGGCTCATTTAGTACATCTGATCATTCATTTATTGGATTAAAAGAGAAGTATAAGGAAGACATAAAAAGACTCAAGTCTGTTATTGATGTAATTGATCAACAATATAGCAGATAAGTTGCACTAAGTTAACTAAATGGCATTGAATACTGATATAATAATGTATTAGGTTAACAATATTCAGGTATTTAAAAATCAATTTAACCTATAAAAGAAAATTCAATAAAAACCCATGTTTATTCAATTGATTACGCTCATTTATTATCAAATGACGGTACCAATACCTATTAATGGGTACAGTGATAGAGCGAAGAAGGCCATTGAATACATTAATAGCGTATTTGATCAGGCAACAGTTAGTGATATGAATAAGATTAGCGCACTGTTGAAAGAGAAATTTAACATATTTCAGCAAGTTAACTATAAACACTCCAATGCCAAACTGAGTCTGGAAATGGGTATTGGTTTGATCACTGCAAATGCAAATAATCATAATATCTTGTTACTGAACAATATGAATCTTTTTGCTAAAGAGAGCAACGATCCAATGATTGGTGCAGAACAAGCTAAGATCTCCTATGAGAGAAGAAATAATGCAATTGAAACACATGGTAGAGAAATAAGAAGGTGTCGAATTAAGGAATTGAAATTGACGTGTGAGAGTGTCAAATCTGTAATTAATGATCTGGTGATTACGGTGAGTGAAATAAGAAACTATATTGAAATCGGTAGGCTATACAAAAAGAAGCATGCTGAGCTGAATATGGATATGAATGCTGGAATAATCAATATGATTATCTATATGGAATCCATGAATATTGATGAGTATAGGCGCATGATAGGTGAATTGAATGATTACCTGAAGAAGTGTGAGATATTCACCGAAATGTAAATTTATCAATGGTTTTGTTCGTTCTTTTTTATGTGCATCAAATGAAGAATACATCAATATCCTCAGGTAGTGAATTTGATTTAGAGAGCATTTCCATGTATTTCTTGAAGTGCCTTCTATTCTGTATGATCAATATTACATTCAGGAGCATAATCAGCAACAGAAATGCAATACATAGGACGATGACCATCTGTAACTTATCCATGGGGATCCAAACAAATAACAATGATTTATTATGGGTCGTAGAAATAGTTGGCGTGCTTCTTCCGATAGTGTCTGCGCCACCCAAAGCTCCTGTTCGTGTTCTTTCCGTTGATTTCAATCCACGTCTTACAAAGAGTACAGTAGGCAAATAGTCTGTTCTTATTCTCCCTAGTTTCATAAGTCGTAGGTATTTTGTATCCATTCTTGTTTATGCCATGCTTGTAATTCATGTGATACCAGTACGAGGATGTTTTGAGTTTGAACCACTGATTACAGAGGCCACAGAGGCCCTCTCTGCGGACGCCATCGTTTCGAACTCTCTTTGGTTTGTATTCAACCTTTCTGTTTCCAGTTTCAGTCACTTGGTTATTCCACCTGTTTTCTGCCTCAGGTTCCTTAGGCCTTGGATTAGGCTCATTCTCAGAGAGCTCTTTGGTCTTGAATACGCCTTGTTCTGTCTGACTGGTTCCACTTCCGTCCACGTATTCAGCAGATGAGTCGTCTGAAGACGATCCATCGCCCTTCTCGAAGAGCATTTGCTGCACATTTCGCTTATTCTCTGCCATGAGCAATAGAATGGATCCAATTTAGACGTATGCAAACAAAATACGCATTTTGTTCGTTCAACCCCTTCTTGATTTCATGCATTCAATAAGAGCATCTTTTCTTCTAAAGAGTTCAAAGAGATATTCCTTGCTTTCACACTCCTTTGTTACTTCAATCAACTCTGTCTTTATCTCTAGTCGTCTCTCTTGTAGTTTGAACAAGTCAAGAAGAGATGGTACCTTTTTTTCATGCCAGCACATTGTTACATCCAGAATGTGGGAGAAGTTGCCTGAGTTCAGTATTG